AGACTTGTCGATACGAGGAAGAATTCTGCTCTCCAAAGCTGAAGGGTTGTCTAGACTAACGTAGGCCGCTCTCTCCTTAGAGGTTGATAAAGGAACTTTAAAAAAGGTTGATAGCATCTTAAATAATTTTGTTTGGAAAAATAAAACCCACTTCATTAGAAAATCAGTACTGATGAATTCTGTAATAAAGGGGGGGTTGGATTTTTTAGATTTTACTACTTTAAACAACACTTTTAAAATTAATTGGCTTAGAAATTTCCTTACTAATCCCTCTTCACTTTGGAATATTATCCCCAATTATATTTTTTCAAAAGTAGGTGGCCTAAATTTTCTCTTACTTTGTAACTATAATGTTACGAAGATCCCGCTCAAACTCTCTAACTTTCATAAGCAGATGCTCTTGGCATGGTCCCTAATATACAAACACAACTTCTCCCCACACAGATATTACTTATGGAACAATAAGGATATTCTCTACAAGAATAAGTCACTCTTTTTTGACAACTGGTTCAAAAACGACCTTCTTTTAGTTGGACAGCTTTTTAATTCTCAGGGCAGACTTTACAACTATTTAGATTTTTTACAGAAATATAAAATTCCTCTTTCTGCTACTGAATATGCAACTGTTTTCAATGCAATTCCCTCTGGAGTGTCTTCTCTGTTGCAAGGCTCTTCATTTCCATGTACTTACTCTTTGAGCCCAACTGACACAATGATAGGAAATGTGTGCTTTTCTGTAGAGCAACAAAAAAATAATTATAAAATCAGAGCTCTCTTCCAGAAGGAGATAATAACAATTCCTTATGTAATCCCATACTGGAATAACATTGTTGAGAATTTACCGTGGGAAAAAATATGGTCCTTGTCTCATAAGTATCTGCTTACAAACAAAGTTAAAGAAATAACATTTAAACTAATTCACAAATGTTACCCAACCAAAGTCTTTTTAAGGCGATATAAGTCCGACATTGATGTGAACTGCGGTTTCTGTCACTCTTCCGAGGAAGACGTCATTCATTTGTTTTGGCAATGTACCCACACAGAGAAATTTTGGTCAGATTTGTTAACTTTTATCCAATCCTATTTTATAAGTGACTTCTCTTTCTGTTTTAAAGATGTTTTCTTTGGTTTGTTTGATTATTCAAAAGAGAAAACAGGGCAATATTACATTATTAATTTGTGTTTCCTTCTAGCTAAATTTCATGTACACAAGCAAAAATTTACTGGTTCGAAACCTCTCTTTTCTTTATTCAAAGATGATTTGGAGAGATACATGGAAACTATCCAAAGTTCTGTTAATCCCAAAGCAATGAAAACTGTATCTATATATTCATCTTTTATGTCCTCTTAAGGTGAATGCAACGCATTCTTGCTTTTATGTTACCCTGGCAACTTATTTGTGTCTGTGTATTTTGCTGTAATTTTTTTTTCTTTTCTTTTATATATGTTTGTATGTATTGCTTAAATGTTTAATAAAAAAAAAAAAAAAAAAAAAAAAAAATGACATGAAAAATGATTCGTTCATTTTGATGGACGAGTTCGAACAGGAGAGTCACAAACTAATTTCGTTCGTTCAATCAACCAAATGACATGAAAAATGATTAGTTCATTTTGATGGACGAGTTCGAACAGGAGAGTCACGAACTCAAGAGAGTCATTTCGTTCATTTTATTTGTTGAATCAACCAAATGACATGAAAAATGATTAGTTCATTTTGATGGACGAGTTCGAACAGGAGAGTCACGAACTCAGGAGAGTCATTTCGTTTTTTGAATCAACCACATGACACGAAAAATGATTCGTTCATTTTGATGGACGAGTTCGAACAGGAGAGTCACGAACTCAGGAGAGTCATTTCGTTCGTTGAATCAACCAAATAACATGAAAAATGATTCGTTCATTTTGATGGACGAGTTCGAACAGGAGAGTCACGAACTCAGGGGAGTCATTTCGTTCGTTGAATCAACCAAATGACATGAAAAATGATTCGTTCATTTTGATGGACGAGTTCGAACAGGAGAGTCACGAACTCAGGGGAGTCATTTCGTTCGTTGAATCAACCAAATAACATGAAAAATGATTCGTTCATTTTGATGGACGAGTTCGAACAGGAGAGTCACGAACTCAGGGGAGTCATTTCGTTCGTTGAATCAACCAAATAACATGAAAAATGATTCGTTCATTTTGATGGACGAGTTCGAACAGGAGAGTCACGAACTCAGGGGAGTCATTTCGTTCGTTGAATCAACCAAATGACATGAAAAATGATTCGTTCATTTTGATGGACGAGTTCGAACAGGAGAGTCATGAACTCAAGAGAGTCATTTCGTTCATTTTATTTGTTGAATCAACCAAATGACACGAAAAATGATTCGTTCATTTTGATGGACGAGTTCGAACAGGAGAGTCATGAACTCAGGAGAGTCATTTCGTTTGTTGAATCAACCAAATGACATGAAAAATGATTCGTTCATTTTGATGGACGAGTTCGAACAGGAGAGTCACGAACTCAGGAGAGTCATTTCGTTCGTTGAATTAACCAAATGACATGAAAAATGATTCGTTCATTTTGATGGACGAGTTCGAACAGGAGAGTCACGAACTCAGGAGAGTCATTTCGTTCATTTTATTTGTTGAATCAACCAAATGACGAATGAGTTCGAACAGGAGAGTCACGAACGCGCATCACAGAACAGAGCAAGGCGAGCATTTGAGCTTATAAAACTTAAACTTTATTATTTATTTTTTAAATGAGCGATCATTTCGCTTGATAAGACCCTTATTCATCGTCTGGAATTGTTTAAAGCCCTTTGAAGCTGTACTGAAACTCTCTTTTGTACCTTGAACCGTTCGGTTCCCATTGAAGTCCATTATATGGAGAAAAATCCTGGAATGTTTTCATCAAAAACCTTAATTTCTTTTCGACTGAAGAAAGAAAGACGTGGATATCTTGGATGACATGGGGGTGAGTAAATTATCAGCAAAAGTTTTTTTTAAAGTGAACTACTCCTATGTCTACACACTCGCATGTGTTTGAAGTGTAAGAGAAATCTATAAGTTTTTCCTGGCTACACATGACATTTAGAGTCATTGTACTCTGTCAATAGATGACAAAGGAATGTGAAGTGTGATGTGAAAAGTGTGTAACTGATCATACACACCCATTTTGGGCCCTGCATCAAAACACTGTACAGGATGAGGTTTGTAACGTGAGATCATGCCTTTTGCACATTCTCCAAAAGCTCTGTAACTGATCTCAGCCCTATTATCAAGCGCACACAAAGAGACGGAGAGCGTAAGAAAGCAGATGAGATTGACATGTGTAAAAGTATATGTCATTTGGGAATGTTGCTCTGCTGATTGAGGGAGATCTCTACAGTACGCTCTTGCCAGAGGGATGTTAACATGCATGGCTGCAGTAAATTTAGCACCAAATGGTGAATGACCTCTGACCTTCACTCTCAGAAAAAAGGTACAAAAGCTGTCACCGGGGCTGTACCTTTTCAAAAGGTACACTTTTGTCCATTTCAGGTGCTAATATTTACATTTCAGGTCCTAATATGTACATTTTTAGGTGCTATTATGTACATTTTAGGTACTAATATTTATATTTCAGGTGCTAATTACATTTCAGGTGCTAATATTAACATTTTAGGTGCTAATATTTACATTTTTAGGTGCTATTGTGTACATTTTAGGTACTAATATTTATATTTCAGGTGCTAATTACATTTCAGGTGCTAATATGTACATTTTAGGTGCTAATATTTACATTTCAGGTACTAATATGTACATTTTAGGTGCTAATATTTATATTTCAGGTGCTAATTACATTTCAGGTGCTAATATGTACATTGTAGGTGTTAATATGTACATTTCAGGTGCAATAGTTGCAATAGTTTTCAGTGCACTTTGTTAAAAAGATTACTTTATAAATGCATAGATGTGTACCCTGTAATTTTTAAAAAGCCTATACAGTATTACTGTTCCACCATTATTTTAAAAAGGTATTCTTGCTAAATTGCTCAGAAATGTAAGATTGTTATATCATAATAGTAGAATAAGTTCCCCTTAGTTCTATAACAGCATAAATCATTTTTTAAATTTTCTTGGTTGTTGCCCTTTATTCCCCAAACTTAAAATGTTGTTCCCTTATACTTATATATACTTATATACATACTTATACGCTGTAAAAACGCTTTTTATTACACAGCATAGTATCAGTATGACACACTTGTCATTTAAAGACCATAGACTGTGTTAACGACCCACTGGATGGCGCCATTGATCAATTTACTGAACGATTTGTCATTATTTTACGGAGGCGTATTATTTTGTTGTGTTTCTAATGATAAAAAAATCGTTTGTCGAAATTTTATTAAGTGCCTCCAACTTGTTTTTTGTTGTTGTCACCACTCACTCTTGTTCATTTACCATTAATCATGGATTTCCAACTTGAGCTAGAATTTTCTCATGAACTTGAGGATCATGACCAAAAACCAAAAAGCATGACCCTTCAACTTTATGCGTGACCGACAGTATTCTCATCGACAGTCTCCGATGCTTGACACATTACCCGAAAAATGATCACAGGCTTGACTGGGAGACATAGTAAAAATGTACATACTAACAGAAAGTCCAACAAATACTGAGTCATTCCTTACAGCATGGTGAAATCTGGAAGTTTTTTTACTAAAAAAAATTATGTAAAATACTTTAAATTATAAAAATAAAAATAAAAATTATTCAAGTAGCTAGTTATAAATAATTGTGATTAGTTCAACCTGTCTAGCGTTGAGAAAAGTAACAAGTCTCATATGATACGATGTTTATATATTTAAGCAGCGATCGGGATAAAACATACATTTGAAGAAAAGCACCGACAAACTTTAATAGCCAATAAAATATACAGTAAATAGTTAATATAATTATTGTTTTGACCAACCACATCCTGAAAGAGTGATGGAGACTTTTATTTTAAAACACGTCTCCCGGAAGCCATTACAGTCTCTGAGAGAAATCCCATCCTGACAGCTCTGAGTTTAAGTACAGCCACTGCAGTCTCTTACAGTTTACTAACTTCATCATGACCGATGCTTTGCTTCGTTGGACTGTTGATAAGTTACAGCATTGTTTTGGATTAGAGGCAAGCGACGACATTGTACAGTAAGTACATTTTAGTGGATGTGTATGCTTCTGGAGGATGAATTGTACGCCAGTCGGTCTAATCGTAATTGCTGTAATTGACAATCCAGAAATTGTGTACAAATTCGTCTGCTATATGTAAGTCGTTTCAGAGATAACTTGGTGGGCCGGCCTCTCTTGTACAAAATCATAACTTGCCATGTTTTTTTGACATCGTACTTCGAATAATTACATGGAAACACCTTGGTAAATGATTACAGTATGTCATTTAGTCCCATACCCCTACATAACTTTATAATAACTTACTATATGTGAAAGATATGTTATTTGAAATGTATGTGGTGATTAATAAACACATGACAGACAATAGATTCTTTGTAGTTTGTGATGGGCATCCAGTATCCAAACAGAAAACAGTCTTTGTGGAAATAAGTGACGCTATGTTGCTGTTTGGGGTGTAAGTCAAGTAAATTTGCAGGTTTTTGTATTGTTTTTCAGGTACATCCTTTCCATTGACAATGCTGATGAAATTGTGGAGTATGTTGGAGATCTCTTACAAGGGACAGAGGGGAAGAAGCAGGAGTTTGTGGATGAGCTGGTGCAGAGATGGCAGAGGTGTCGAACGCAAGAGCCTGATGGTCTGGGAGGCGTCTTCAGGATAGAGCCAGTCATGGGTAAATACAGACACACTGATGTTTTCAGATTCAATACATAATTAAGAATTTAGGATTTAACTTAAAGCTGCTGTCCGCAGTTTTTCTCTTTGTCGCCATCTCTGCAATTGCAGTCATCCGCGGAATTATCAACTTTACGTGAGTTGTGCCTCGACGCGGCTCAGCGTGGATGAACACAATGTTTGAGGAACTGTTAGGCTGTCTTTCAGGTGAATCTGTTGTCTCTGGCGATCGTCGATTGAACCTTTCTAGATCCGCCATCAAATTGATAAGTTTAATTATATCAAGTGCTGTGAGAAAAGGCTATAAATCTCCACCTCCACTCATAGCCTACTAGCCGAGACTCCATCTCCTCCATAGGAGTTACAATTTTCATATTGGGCATTAATCTGTATCGGTTTGATAAGGCTAATGTTTTTTTTTTTTTGTTGTTGTTGTTTTTTTTCAGTTCAAACTATATATTATTCTTCTGTCAGGTTTAAAGTTTGCATGAAATGAAAATTCACCTCTTTATATATATATTTAGTTGTTTAAATACCTTTTATAGACCTTATTGTGAATGATTCATTCATGTTTATGTTTCCTTTTTTAATATTTCCTTGTAATTTTGAATCAAAATTTCATAATTAGACCTTGTCTGTCTCTGGCGATGTATGCTAGACTTCTCCGTTAATAAAAGGCCTGTAAAGGTTCGAAAATTTGATTTGAAATTGAATTTTTCCATGCGATTTGTCAGAGGACTTTCACTTTTATAAAAATAGATATACTGTGGTATAATATGCTATTTGCTTAATATCAAGATGCTGAAATACCCTTTTTTTATATCTTAAATTTTTTCTTATCATGTAGGTTATATTTGTCCCAGTATTTGATTTGCCGTGACTGATATTTGTCATAGTTACATGTATGTGAGTATTATGTATGGAAGCTTGTTTCCGCCACTGAATAAAAAAAATAAATAAATAATTGTGACTTTTTATCTCGCAATTATAATAGATATAAAGTCGCAATTCTGAGAAATAAAGTCGCAATTGCGAGAATTTTTTTTTCTCACAATTGTGAGTTTACATCTCGCAGTTCTGACTTCACAACACATAATTGTGAGTTTTCTCAGAATTGTGAGTGAGATATAAACCCGCAATTGCGAGTTATCAGGCCAATTCTAAGAAAAAAACTTTTTTTCCCCTTGGAATAGTTTATATCTCACAATTCTGAATTTATAACACGCAATCACGACTTTATATCACACAATTCTGACTTTATTTCTCTCAATTGTGAGATATAAAGTCCGAATTGTGAAGAATTCGGAATTACCTTTTTTTATTTTTCATTCTGTGGCGGAAACAAGCTTCCATAATTATGTGTTTTATTTGCAGCGCAATGGAAAAGAGATTCCAACACCTCGCGTAAAACCTCTGTTGCATTGACAGCATGCAAATGTTAATGTTCATTTAAATCAAAAATGTTAACTCCCCAAACATTTGTCTTGGTGCCAATCTTCAAGCGGACGTTTATCTGCCTTCGTTTTGCATGCAACATCCAACCTCAAAATCCAATTAACATCCAATGAATAGAACTAAGTCCCCAATCTGCTCTTTTTTAAATTTAAAACACAAAACAATTATTAATAGGTCACAATACCAAAAAAAAAAAGATTTTTTCAACTTTAAAAAGTACTAAACAACATTTCTATACTGCTTGATCTCTGCATCCCTGCCAATAATATTGTTATTGCTATGAAAATATATCTGTCAATAAAGTAATATTGTATGAAATATCTGCCCCAGAGGGTCTAGACACAACTCCCAAAGACAACCAGAAGAAGACCAAACGAAAGGGAAGAAACAAGCAAGAGATTGCGACAGTCTGCCAGGCCGAGCCGGAGCCTGTGAAAACCCCCATTGACTTGATGAAGGTACGTCACCTTATTTAAATATGGTATATGAAGTTGATCTGGAAAGACTTATGTACTTGCTGTTATCAGGCTCAGGAGAAAAGCGGCTCCAGCTCAGTGAAGAAGAAGAACAAGTTTGTGAATCTATATGCTAAAGAGGGTGGAGATAAGCTGGCTGTTCTGCTGCCGGGCCGCCAGTCCTGCGAGTGTTTGGCTCAGAAACACAGACTCGTCAACAACTGTCTGAGCTGCGGACGGATAGTGTGTGAGCAAGAGGGCTCCGGGCCCTGTTTGTTCTGCGGCAGTCTGGTAAGTAGAGATGCACCGATTACAATTTTAATAAAAATAAATAATAATTAATTTTATTTATGGCCGCCTTACAAGGATAAAATACAAAGAAGACAGCAATACAATTAATAGTACGATCAACAATATAAAATAATTCAAAGAAAGAATACTCGGTAACAATACTAACATCAATCAGGATAAGCTAGTCTAAATAAATACGTTTTGAGACGTGACTTAAAAATTTTCTAGGCCGAGTTTGACCTGCCGACACCGATTTCATTTTTTCTAACCACTTTATTACCACAAATATTAATTGTCTCTCTTTTCTTTAGGAGAACATTTTACATTTTTGCATTCAACATTTTGAACAGTAATCGCTATTATCGGCCGATATTAGGCACTTTCCAAACTATCGGTATCAGCAGTTATAATGGCCGATAAATATATATTTTAAAAATAAAATAAAAACGGACGAAACACGCTTGAACCATGTCATGAGTGTTGGAGTTGTATAGTGTGTCCACCAGAGGGCACTCTACACCGTTCCTGTTGGCAACACTCGTTGAGTTGGTCACGAGACATACGTTGCTTGAATAACAATTAAAAGAACATCCCCATCAGTTCTCTTAACTCAAATAAGCATGACAAAATTTGTGACTATCATGTCCAGTTGTGCTGCTGTTAAATAAGCCAAAAGTGAAGCGGAATTAGCTAGTAATAATTACGTTACGTTGTTACAGTGTAGTTGACTGACTGTCCTTTAAACTTTTGACAATGTGACTGAAGTATTTCTTTAATAGCGCGTGACAGTTATAGCTATGATACGCATCATCTCTCCTCGGCCTGTTATATTGAAAATTTATGTTTTACAATTTGCAGTATGACGTAATCCATTGCTAAGTTATGGCTCATTATAGACTAGCTAACCACAAAGCTAGCTAACGCCACTATCATCAGTCTGTTCTGTTGCGACAATAAAATAAGTTTTTTTTTAAATGCATTGTCATATTATTTTAGTTAAAACTCCTAAATAACTACAAATAACTAATGTTAGGGAAATCTGTTAATGTTTTGTTGCGCGTTTCTGGAAAAAAAAAAAAGATATCGGCCGATATATCGGAATATCGGATTTTAAAACCATCAAATATTTGTATCGGTATCGGCCTTCAAAATCCTTTATCGGTCGGGCTCTAGTAGTCACAATGAAATAGGAATATATGAATTACTCCTGGTGTGGGATTTTGGTTTGTTTTTTTAATTTAATTAAATCAAGAAAGCCTTAAAACATAAAAACAAAAGGCATCGAAATATAATCGAGGATTAAAACACAATAAAGTCCAGGACTTATTTCCATTTTGGTCCTTTTAGACACAACGCCAAGACAGGACAATTACATATAGTGTGATAACAATGACAACATACTATACAAACATTTTCATTTTCTATACAAATTATAGATGGTATAATCTCCTTGTTCTATTTCGCTACCCTCTCTAATAACCAATCCTTGGTCCTCTTTTTAAAAGAATTAATGCTTAAGATTACTTTAATTTGCCGGATAATTGCAAATATATAGGGAAATTCACACACATCTAAAGTGGAGTGTTACGAATAAAACATTTCCTTCTTTTCACATCCAATTAAAAAAATGTGTTAATTTTAAAAAGATAATTCATTTTATTTTCTGATATACACTCTAGCTCTTGTTAAAACACACCAGACATGCAAATTCTGTGCGTTTTGGGCACTTTTTGTGTGAAATCATATTTATTTTGTCCATCAAAAGTGTAGATAAAGGGTAGCAGTTCAGCAAAAATAGACTCTGCGCCCAAAACTTAAAGTAAATGAATCTTTCAGATCCCAAACTTTTCAATCAAAGTATAAATATTGACCATAGATATTTTCACTAGCCATGGAAAAGCCCATACCGATCAACTATCCTGTGTCTTGTCTAATCTAAAAACCCTGCCAATTTGATTATGATAGTAATGACCAGCCTTCATTATCACCGTTTAACATTTTCACACATAATTCAGGTCTGTACCAATGAGGAGCAAGAGATTCTGCAGCGAGACTCCAACAAAAGTCAAAAGCTCCGTAAGAAACTCATGGGAGGTGAGACGTGAAGTGATTTTTCATTTGACCTGTAGCATTTGCGTGACACTGACAGCCTTTTGTTTTTCTGCGTGGACCCAGAGGGAACTGAACGGGACTATCTGCCCCACCAAGAGGCCAGGATGAAGACTGGTCTGGAAAAAGCCGTAAAGCACAAAGACAAACTTCTGGAGTTTGACAAGAACAGGTCAGCCTGTCCAAATGCACTGTTGTGGTGTTCAACTGATCATCTAAAGTGCAATGCACTCACAAAGCTTAGACTTTTAGGCCACATCCACACGAAGCCAGAAGAGCTTTCCTTATCCAATCGTAAACACAGCGTCGTCTCAAGAAATATATCCGTTCACACGAAACCACTGAAAACGATGTGGTATACATGCCAGACCAGTATGTGGCGCTGTAATTCTGCCACACAGATACACTAAACAAGGAGAAGAAGATTTAGAGCATGCGCATCATAGATATCCATATAAAGGGTAGATATCTCGTCCGCTACTGGCGGCCATCTTGCCACAGTCAGCTCGCTCACTCATAACACTGTGTTTTAATGGTGCATGTACTTTTTAAATAACCATAACTTGCTTAATTTTCAACCAACGGTTTGGTTTGTTATAAATGTCAGAGATGTACTTATGACACAGCATACTTATGAATAATAAGTGTATAAATACATAATCATCCAGAGTTATAGCCACGTTAATAACATTTGTAAGAAACCAAATCGTTTGCAAATCCGGCAAGATTTCAACTAGATAAGAGTATTTGTGTTCGTGCTGATCAGCTTGCCTGTGACAAGATGGCCGCTGGTGATGACGATAGAAACTCCGCCATAAGACATCAGAAGTGTGTGTATTTATATATATATACACAAAATAACTATACACAGTGCACCCACACATATTATGTAAACACAAACTTTTATTTTGGATGCGATTAATCGTTTGACAGCCCTACTGTACATATCTGTTCACATCTCAAAAAATGTGTTTTGGCGTTTCATGATTGTAACGTTCCGTGTGTGTGTGTGTCAATTCTTTATTCCTAGATCGTGATCATTGGCTATGTGACGTCATGATGACAACTTTCAATAATTTGACCTCTTCCACTTTCTTTTAGTGTTAAGAGGACACAAGTCTTGGATGATGAATCCGATTATTTTGCCACGGACTCGAACCAGTGGCTTTCTCCAGGTGAGAGGGAGGCCATACGCAAGCGAGACGAGGAGCTCCGGGAGCTTCGACACGCCTCCCGCAAAGACCGCAAGATCACATTGGACTTTGCGGGTAGACGAGTGCTGAATGAAGGGGAGAACCTGAGTCCATACTACCAGAAGTAAGAAGCCAGCTTCATAATTAGTTGTTTCAGTTATTTCATCTTATGTCGGGTTCAGACTACACGATTTTGACGTGGTGATTCATAAATGACTTGGAGGCAGCATTATATAATATAGGTATAATATGAATATCATTTTTTGGTTGCAAAAGGTTTGACGATACAGTCAAGGACATCCACGCTGGTTCTTTTGGTCGGACATCAAAACATTCAGCTTCCACTGATCGACAGCACCTCAGAGAGCTCGTCAACCCCAATATAGCACAGGCCGCGCCAGAGGTGGGTGCAAATAATCTGCTTTTGAAGAGCTTATATTTATTTTATTCCGTTCACCCAAAAATTTAAATTAGCTCATGATTTACTCACCCTCAGGCCATCTTAGGTGTATATGACATTCTTCTATCAGACGAATACTGAGTTATATTAAATGTCCTGGCTCTTCCAAGCTTATAATGACAATGTAATTGGCCGGAAGCTAGTTATTTTACTTAATAAAGTTTAAAATATGAACATTTTTCCTAAACAAATGCATTGCTTCACTTCAGAAGGCCTTTATTAACCCCCCAGAGCCTGTGGAGCACTTAGTGGATAGATGCAATTTTATCATGGATAGATGCACTTTAATGACGGATAGATGCACTTTTATGATGATAGATGCACTTTTATGATGGATAGATGCACTTTTATGATGGATAGATGCACTTTAATGATGATAGATGCACTTTTATGATGATAGTGCACTTTTATGATGATAGATGCACTTTTATGATGGATAGATGCACTTTTATGATGATAGATGCACTTTTATGATGGATAGACGCACTTTTATGATGATAGATGCACTTTTATGATGATAGTGCACTTTTATGATGATAGATGCACTTTTATGAGGGATAGATGCACTTTTATGATGATAGATGCACTTTTATGATGGATAGATGCACTTTTATGACAGATAGATGCACTTTTATGACGGATAGATGCACTTTTATGATGATAGTGCACTTTTATGATGATAGTGCACTTTTATGATGGATAGATGTACTTTTATCATGTAGGTGCACTTTTATCATGGATAGATGCACTTTTATGAGGATAGATGCACTTTTATCATGTATAGATGCACTTTATCATGTATAGATGCACTTTTATGGACTTCAAAACAAAGCTTGGAAGAGCCAGGAAATTTATTAATTTAACTCCGATTATATTCGTCTGATAGAAGAATGTCATATACACCTAGGATGGCTTGAGGGTGAGTAAATCATGGGCTAATTTTCATTTTTGGGTGCACTATCCCTTTAATGCCAGTTGTATATAAGTTGCATCTGTGTACATGTCTATATTCATTCATGTGATGTCAGTGGGTTGACGTGGCCTGTAGCGACTCCTCCCGCAAGTCTTCTTCAAAGGCTGTGAGTAATACACAGAAAAGTGAGCGCAGCCGACTCAGACTGCAGGACAAAGAGCTCCAGGAGATGTCAGATGGAGGCTGGTGCCTCAGCATGCATCAGCCATGGGCTTCACTGCTTGTTAAGGGCATAAAAAGGTACAGTTCATTTGAAGACGCCATGAAATCATAAATTACATCACTCCCTGCTCAAAGGGTCTAAAATGAGAATATTCTTCCCCTAAATTATAAATACCACCTCCTTCTGTCTAGCAATAGCGAGAAGTAAATTGTTTTGACATGTTATGTAAACTTAGAATGCACTTATAAATAAGAGTGGATATAGCAATATTTCAATGCTAATTTTCACATTATGGCTGTACTATTTTGTGTAAAAATTTAAGTATATTAAAAAAAGTTGTACAACCGACTCGAGTTAGTTTAAATATCAAGCATTTCGTTTCTGTGACCTAGTGGAGTTAAAAAAATAAAGCATATATTCAAACAACCTTGTAAACAGCACTTTCGCGCGTTGCACCTCCCCCAACTGAAGCCTCCCCCAAATCCTCCTCCTGCTACAGTGGCCACACCCCAAACCCTCCTCCTGCTACAGTGGCCACACCCCAAACCCCCCTCCTGCTACAGTGGCCACACCCCAAACCCTCCTCCTGCTACATTAGCCACGCCCCAAACCCTCCTCATTCTACAGTAGCCACGCCCCCAAACATTCCTCCTGCTACATTAGCCACACCCCCAAACATTCCTCCTGCTACATTAGCCACGCCCCCAAACATTCCTCCTGCTACATATGCCACGCCCCAAACCCTCCTCATTTTACAGTAGCCACGCCCCCAGAAATTCCTCCTGATACATTAGCCACGCCCCTTAACACTCCCCCTGCTACCAGTAGCCACGCCTCCAAACATTCCTCCTGCTACATTAGCCACGCCCCAAACACTCCTCATGTTACATTAGCCACGCCCCAAACCCTCCTCCTGCTACAGTAGCCACGCCCCCAAACATTCCTCCTGCTACATTAGCTCTCAATGTTTTTATGGTGCCTGGAAGACTCAATCTTTATACTTTTGAGGGAGATAATATGCCATGAATAGTATATTACCTGGGTATAAACAGGTTAAAAGAATGTATTTAATAAAATTGTACATTTAACCTTTATATTTCACTTATTTGGGCCGATAACTGGATGTGGCACTAAATATTGTGCATTTCTAATGTGAAATAAAGGATTCAGACTTAAGAAAAACGTCCCACTCATTCCCATTCCCACTTCCTGTTCATTTACATACATTGCTTTGTGTCAAACCATTTAATGTGATCCATCTTTTCATCACTGATATGTAGAGCTTTTGTTTGTAACTCACCCGAATGTTTCCCATTTTCTCCCCATTGGTTGTGTTTGTGTAGGGTTGAAGGCAGAACATGGTACACGTCCCATAGAGGGCGCCTGTGGATCGCAGCCGCTGCTAACCGTCCAACTCCTCAAGAGATCGCAGGGGTGGAGGCCATGTACCGACAGATTTACAAAGACCGTATGTTTGCAGATTTATAACAGTAATACTAGACGTATGTACAGTAACACTTTACAATAAGGCTCATTAGTTAATGTATTAATTAACATGAACTAACAATGAGCTTTGTTATTGTTAGTTAATAAAAATTGTTTGTTCATGTTAGTTCACAGTGCATTAACTAATGTTAACAAATTCAACCTTTGATTTAATAACATATTAGTAAATGTTGAAATTAATATTTACTAAGATTAATAAATGTGGTAGAAGGTTCATTCTTAGTTCATGTTAACTAAGGTAATTAACTAATGTTAACTAATGAACCTTATTGTAAAGTGTTACCATTTCACCTAACTTGGTTATTATTATTATTTTATTAAAGGAGTAGTTCACTTAAAAAAAAAACTTTTGCTGATAATTTACTCACCCCCATGTCATCCAAGATGTCCATGTCTTTCTTTCTTCGGTCGAAAAGAAATTAAGGTTTTTGATGAAAACATTCCAGGATTTTTCTCCATATAATGGACTTCAATGGGAACCAAACGGTTCAAGGTTCAAAAGACATTTTCAGTGCAAACTGTTCAAAGGGCTTTAAACGATTCCAGTCGAATAAGGGTCTTATCAAGCGAAACGATCGCTCATTTAATAAAATAAAGCATTTGAGCTTATAAAACTTCAATTTTGTTATTTATTTATTAAATGAGCGATCGTTTCGCTTGATAAGACCCTTATTCATCGTCTGGAATTATTTAAATCCCTTTGAACAGTTTGCACTGAAACTGTCTTTTGGACCTTGAACCGTTTGGTTCCCATTGAAGTCCATTATATGGAGAAAAATCCTAGAAGGTTTTGATCAAAAACCTTAATTTCTTTTCGACTGAAGACAGAAAGACACGGACATCTTGAATGACACGGGGGTGAGTAAATTATCAGCAAAAGTTTTTTTTTTTAAAAGTGAACTACTCCTTTAAGAAAAGCATCAGTATAAGCATCAGATTGTTGCCTAATTAAACGGAGGGAAAAAAACAAAAAATAAACAAGCATAATAAATGCTCACATACGAATGAACACATAATCACAGTAATATATGCATATAAATATAAACAACTAAATAAACCAGAAACAAATATGAATAAATCCGTTATTTTGCTGTCCAGAGCCCCAGTTTCCTGCGGAGTATCCCATAGGCTGTCTGTTGGGCTGCGTGAACGTCACAGAGTGTCTCTCTCAGGAGCAGTTCAGGGAACAGGTCAGTGGCTTCTGGAGTCCCTGTTGGTGTTCATCCATACTAAACATGCTGTTTATATTAAAGGGATAGTTCACCCAAAAATGAAAAATCTGTCAGTAATTACTCGCCTCATGTCGTTCCAAACCCGTAAGACTTTCGTTCATCTCCGGAACACAAGATGAAATTGGAGAGCATTTCCATTGTTTCCCATTGAAAATAATACTTCCTAATATTTTTCAATATTTTTCAATTTTTGTTTTAATATTAATATCATATTTTAATAATATTTAAATATTATAATAAATAAAATATATATAATAAATGTTATATTATTATCAATATTTAATATTTTTTATATTTTTTTATTTTTGTATTTTGAGAGCTACTAATTCATATTTATCCAATAATTATGATCCATTTTTTCTTCATTGAAAAAAAAAAAATCATTATCTTTCAGTTAATGCAGTATTTCAGGTTTGAATAAAGACTAGTAAAATCCAGTTTTGTGCATTTGGTGAGGGTAAAGAAAGAAAAACATGTAATATTACGGTGTAGCCACTAGATGCCTGTAGAGCTCTCTATAGAAAGGCTTGGACATACTTGCTTTGGTTGTGGATTTTAATATATGTTTAAACATTCTCAAAAATGGCTTTTTGTCAAGGTTTATATATATATTTGTTTGTTTTAAGGCATCATACCACTATATACACTTTTCATAGACAACATTTTTCATACACTTACCCATTAATGCTTACATAGAAATACTGGGCATCACACACTGAGCATCAGACCTTCCGAACATGACACACTCACACAGAAACAAACTGGGAGGAAATCAGTGCATCCTCTACCCCACAACAACATTGCCTAAATTTGGGGCAAGACTTAGAGAATATGAATCCAAATCCATAGAGAAATTGAAACCCTGAGAAATATTCACTGGAGTAAATAGCATATAACAAAATATCACATAACCAACCACAAAAAGAGGTTATAAAGCAATAGATATACTGAGATGGATTAGTGGATCATGTTCATAGTTAATGTGTTGAACTGCACATGTGCATTCACTAAAACACTAGTAGGTTTAAGAAGAATGCTTTGGAATATAGATGTATGGTCTTATTTTATAGAAAACGTTTGACAGATTATTGTAGAAGGGAAATAAATTGTGAAAGTAAAACAGAAAAAGTTATATACATTTGAGTTTATGAAAAATGTAAAAATATAATTTATTTTATATGAAAAATACATATTCCAAAACATATTTTAATCTAAAACTGCAAGAAAATGAAAGCCAAGAAGTAAGATTTTATTTGGGCGCAATAGCAAACCTTTTCACAAGCTTCCTTTCTGCCCATATAAGGACGCCTCCAGAGTGATCTGAACCATGTATTTCCATAATTTTCATACAATTTATGAATTAGACATCCTATTCAGAAGTAGTATGGGTGGTTTGGTTTTAAAAAGAGCAATTATAGCTCGCAGCCGCATCACAAATCGAGAATCCATAATATTTGTCTTTATCTAAAACATTTTCAAAACCTTTTTTTTTCTCATAAAATTGAATTGGTGTTATTTTTTGAACTCTTGGCATGAAAACAAACTGAGGTTTTTACCCATCTTTCATGATTTTTTTTCATGTTTATTACCATTTCAAAATAAAAGCCTAAACGCGCCTAATGAGTATGACATATTCTTGTTGCAAATTGATAATTTATTTAAAAAAATCCACCGAATATGAAAACTATAGATTGTAAGCTTTTTAAATGATATGTAGTTTCTCAATATTACTTTAGCTTTTTACTACACTCTAAAAAATGCTGGGTTGTTTTAACCCAATTTTGGGTCAAATATGGACAAACCCGAAATGTTGGGTTAAAAATGTAATGTAAAAATTTAACCCAACGTCTGGGTTAGTCCATATTTGACCCAAAGTTGGGTTAAAACAACCCAGCATTTTTTAGAGTGTAAGATATTATTGTTTTAAGGCAGGTGGGACGGTGACGTTTAAAGGGTTAAAAAGAAAAACTATAAAATTAAATGGAAGTGTTTCTAAGAATCTGGGTAAAGGTCTTGCATCAATTGTTCGCTTGGTTTGATTTTGTATTATGTATCAGTGACATTCAGAAATGTTTAAGTGTGACTTTAATGTGCACAGTATGGAGGTCATCATGCCAAAATGGCAAGATGTGACGAGTTAAAAACGGTTTGCGTCTGTGGATTCTGTCTGGCTGATTTTGAATTTAATAACATCTCTTGTTTGTGTACAACCCCTTAGGCTTTACATGAAGCAACATGATTTAAAAGCCATTAAAAACACATCAGATTGTATGAGCCGCTCTTGAAGATGTTGAGTAGCCGATATACCCACACCTGTGCCCACCGCACTTCGGTTCAGGTTTATTCTGGTTCTGATTTGGAGAACCACTGAGAATGTTGTTGTTTTTTTGTCTTGATGAATTTAAATGCGTGTAAATATTGCTGTATTTTATCATTGCCAAAGTCAAATTATTCCCTTTCTCTTTTCGAGTTACTCTACTTTAAATAGGACCTATTATGCTTTTTATTTATGTGTTCAGCATTTTTTTTGTGTGTATTGTTGATGTTTGAGCACAAAAATGCTCTGCAAAGATACAAAGTCCGTCCCAAATTTAGTCTTATGACTTTTAGAAAAAGTTATTTAGTTTTATTTTTGAATAACTAAAGCTGGCTCTCACCATGAATATCGCCATTGAAATTGGCATGGCGTTAAGATGTAACTTTCTCTCTGGTGTAGACATTTTACCCTTAGTCACAGGAAGTTCGATAGGACATATCGAATGACGAAGTGCCTTTTAGCTCACTTCACAGCCTAGAAAAGTGAAGGGGTCAAAGTTCGACTTGTTGGCATATGGTCCATTTTGACCCTTTGAATCACCCGTAGTGCAAGCCAGGGTTGCCAGGTCTGCAGTTTTTCCTAAACCAAACATTATTTGTAACGCTTTCCATCGAATAATCGCAAATAGATTTGAAATAATGTCTCATCTTTCAGGTTCTGTCCATTTTATCATGAAATTCAAACAATTAATGGCGTTTTGACGCTCTTAAATGTGCCGTGACCGATCGCTGTAGTGCCTCAGTTCAAGAGTCTTTTCTTCCACTTTAATACAAGTTATAGATTAAAAAACATGCATTAACTGTACACATGTAATCAGAAGACTTCAATAAAACAGCTTGTGAACATTGACAACTAACATTGGGTTTATCTCAGTAAAGTTATTCAAGTGTTCACAGTTCGTTAGTTAGCTATAAAACACAAAAGAGATTATTTACTGTTAATTATATATGTGCGTTTGAATACAGTTATCAAGAAGACAAGCGTTTATGAAAACTACCTTATGTGAGTTGTATACAAACATTTCAGCTTTTATCTGAGTGTAATTATTATATCTGAACATAAACAGCAGTTCAATATGATAGTTTGGGCGTGGTTGTTGACCTCTATTGACCTCTAATATTATAGTAATGTTGCAAATGAGAGTGTTTCCCTGTATAGTTTACAGCATTATTACACTCTCAGAAAAAAAAGGTACAAAAGCTGTCACTGGGGCTGTACCTTTTCAAAAGGTAACCTTTTGTCCATTTTAGGTGCTAAAATGTACATTTTATGTGTTAATATGTACATTTTAGGTGCTAATATGTATTTGTAGGTGCTAATATGTACTTTTTAATTGCTAATATGTACATTTTAGGTGTTAATATGTACATTTTAAGTGTTAATATGTACATTTTAAGTGTTAATATGTACATTTTAGGTGTTAATATGTACATTTCAGGAGCTAATATGTCCATTTTAGGTCCTAATGTACATTTTAGGTGTTAATATGTACATTTTAAGTGTTAATATGTGCATTTTACGTGCTAAAATGTACATTTGAAGTGTTAATGTGTACATTTCAGGAGCTAATATGTACATTTTAGGTGCTAAAATGTACATTTGAAGTGTTATTGTGCACCTTTCAGGAGCTAATATGTCCGTTTTAGGTGCTAATATGTACCACTAAGGTACCAATATGCAGCCTTTGGGTACAAAAGTGTACCTTTTGAAAAGGTACAGCCCCAGTGACAGCTTTTGTACCTTTTTTTCTGAGAGTGTATTGGTATCAGTGTGTATATATAGTATCGGTGCATCTCTAATATAATATGTGTGTATATATACAGTATATATATATAGAGAGATTATTGTAGTGAGCATTTGAGTGGGTGAAAATTGTGCATGTCAAGATTAGTCATACATATTTTTTTTCCCCTTAACGTAAAGATTTTAAATTTAGATTGTTTAGAAAATTTTTTATTTGGGTTATTAAACAGACATGGACTAAAATCCACAAAACAATTTTGCTTTAATAGCCTTTAATTGTTTTTGAAGGGTTTATTCTGGGCTCAGCCTGCAGGGGGTGCAGTGCATCATCATCTCCTCGACCTGGACACTACTGCCATTTTGACTGAAGCAAAGCCTCAGAATCCTTTCATACTGATTCATGTCATGCAATTACTTTCATATTGCACTCTTCCACTATTGATAGTTGCATGTTTGAAGCGAGCATCTATTCTCCTAGTTTCTATGATGTCAAGCAGAGGATTTAAAAGGATTATGTCCAGGTGCAATATCGCAACCCGGCCCTGTCCTTGATTAATTATAAATCAATGAAGTCTGTTGCAGCTCAGAGGGCTCTAATCTTTTCTCTTTCATCCAGTGTAAATGTTGGTGTGCCTCAGCCAATCTGTCTGCTTTAACCTGAGCGGATCTGTCTACCTGAGTGCTTTTCATAAACCTAACACCTCTTGACAAGCCATGCACAGAATGAATTTGCTCAGAGAGGGGAAGACTTCTGTGTGGTTCGAATTAATATTCTGCGTTTAAAACCATTGATACAAGCCGACCAAATATTCGAAATCGGTTGTAATAGGTGGTGTAACAAATGCATCAGTATGTAAAGTGGATAGTGACAATATGTATTATGGAAAGTTGACCAAAA